GATGGATGGATGAAGGGGGAGTCTCTGCAGCAGAGAGAGAGGTGCTCACTGCAGACAGAGGCAACAGGAGCACTAATGGCTTCATGGAATCTCCTGCCCCATTCATATTAAGTGCATCGACCTGCAGTGTCAGTAGTCCAGACAGAAGGTTTTCCAAGTCCTGATTGGGGATGTCTGGGATGAGTCCTGGACTAAAGCACCCGGAGGCCCTGGGCCAGGAGACCTTGGGAGGCCCAAGCTTAATAGCATCTGATTATGAGAAACTAAACCTCGTTCTCTTCGTTATCTACTCAATGAAAGTAGGACATTGGTGAAATATGATCATTCATTAAAAGATTGTTTATAGATGTATAACCTTTAATATGCTTACAAAAGTATGGAACTAATGAAGACGTCCATACAGAACACTGATAGAGGAATCATAGCTATGTTATAATATTCTACTATGTACAAAATGAGAGCAGTTTGCCTTGAGCTTAGTTGGAAAGTTAAGCATCTTCCCTTTGAATGCAATTGAACTTAAACTACCTTTATACGTCTGAATAATGCCCAATGGACAGCTACAAAGCTAATTTAGGGGCAGGAAGATTAGAACCTTCCATATATTTTGGACTATTATCTAGCCATTCCAGGTAGTCATCCGTCTACCTGTTGTCCTTTTAACCTCTGAATTAACCAACGTTTCCTAGGCAGTACTCAATGCATTAAAGCAAAGCACAGATATGAAAACAAAGTAAGACCAGTGTAGAATAGAACCAATAAAACCAGCAGCAAAGAATAAAACCATTACAGCACCATAAAACCCACAATGCCCCCATGTCCCAGCCAGCAAGTTCCATGCATCAGGGTTTGTAGGAATGGTATTACAGAACACCTGGAGCTAGCAGGTTGCCTATACCTGGGCTAATGGATGAACTTGGGCAGGTCCATGCAGCCATGCTTCTAATAACCCCAGGGGAAAGGCTATGCAATCTAAGGCACACCATTCCTTGGAGGAAGGCCAGACAGAAATGGAAGGCAGGCTCAACAAATTCTCTACAGGAGTATCAATTCACTTTACTGCTGTTGTCCAGCATGATGTACATGAAGGGTGCAATCGCATGAAAGCCAGTACTTTGTGTCTTTGTTCTCAAGTACATCATCTTGCTTTACTGTCAATTGCAAACAACTGCTGCTTTGTGCAAGTTTGGAATGTCTTGTTATTACCTCCTCGTCTAACCTAGGAATTTACAGATGCATTAAGGAGCAAAGATATGGATAAGGCGGAATATTTATTATGTCGTTACATTGAATTTAACATCAGTTCGTAAGCAGAAGCTCCAAAGATAAATGAATGAAATATGTCAGTGGAAAAGGGATCATGCCAAGTGGATGGGAGTTTAAATAGGACTTGCAAAAAGGATTTTTAAAACCACCATTGGAATTTGCTCCCGAGAGGAATGGCCTCGTTAGGCAAATGCAGTTGGAAGCAAGGAAATCAGTTGTTGCATGAGGACGTGAATTGCCTAGACCTTGCAACTTGAACTTGTATTGGTTTTAATCAGAGTGGTTTCATTTACTTTAATAGAACTGTGCTGATTTATGGTAGCAATTATACAGCGGCACCCTGAGGTTTTAAAGAAATTTATCGTCCTTTTAAAAATAGTCAAGATTAGTGTGTCCCTCTTCTGTCTTTCCAGTATGGGCTGGGAAACTCCCTTAACAAAGTCCTAAACACAAATGTGTATACGACAGTTCACATTAATGAAATTCTAATATTGTTAACAATGAAAAAGCTGTATATATTAAAAATTCTTTCAGCTATCTAGATTTGGAAGGGGGGAAATTAAGTCTTACTTATTATTGGGATCTGCAAGCCTTAGCATAATTTTGTACCAAACACACCGGAGAAGTAGCAGACGCTTCCTATGTTAGCCCTCCACAATGAGTTGCCTTCCAAATGTTGGCTGAAGTGGAAGGGAATTGTAGTCCTAAATACCTGGATGGTCCCGAACTGGAGAAAGCTAACCTCTGGAACCAGGAGAGGGCTGTTATCCATGTGGCAATGACTGGATATTGTAGGTCTCTTTTCTTCTTGCTGGGTGCCACAGATCATGAAGCAGCAAAAGGTAAAGATTCCCCCGCACATATGCACTAGTCATGTCCGACCCTGGGCCCAGTGCTCATCTCTGTCTGTAAGCTGAAGGAGCCGCATTGTCCGAAGATGCTTCCATGATCATGTGGCCAGCATGACTAAACAGGTGCACAGAACTCTGTTACATTTCCCACTGGATACCTGTGGATCTGCTTGCATTTGCATGATGTAGAATTGCTAGGTAGGCAAGAGCTGGGACAAAGTAGTGAGAAGGATTAGCATCTGCATTGCAAAGACATCAACAGCAGAGCTTATCTGTAGAGTTGTAAATCTTGTAGATAAGTACCAATAAAGGACTTTAGTCTTATTGCTCGTGAATGGTGGGTTGTTTACATGTTGAGTAGCACCTCGACAAAATGAGAGGAAATACTTGTCCTTAATTTTGTAGCAAAGTAATTGGAACATTTACACACCTAGTAAGACAATTTAATATCCTGGCTCAGCCATGATTTCCAGAATTATTTGTGCTTTAGGGAATGATTGATAACTATTAGCAATCATTACACTTTCCAAAGGACGTCTTTCAACCGAAGGAAAAATCCCCATCATTTCAGCCAGCACCATGGATTGTAGCAAGCCGTACTTTTTTGTCAAATGGATAAACTTCTTGAACTAGCTCAAGTGACAGCTGAGGGCAGTAGGCAACAGTAGGTGACTGATATTAATTGTGCATCTTAATGGGAAAGGTACAGGAAATTCACACTGTGCATTTGTCTCCATGCATTCTCAGGTATCCCATTCTATTTATATAGATTCTAAAAATGTGAAGGACCAGTTCATAAATATAAAATATGAGAAGTGGGGCTAAATGTAGCAGAGAGATGGCCTTACTGTGAAAACATTAAATATTTTGTTCGATCAAATCGGGGGCCTTCAGGCCAATGGTTCATTAAATCAGGAAATGTGGAAAGAATTGGGCTAAATCTTCTGAGTCTTGCGGTGAACTTTCAATCATTTTCCTCCTTCTTAGCCTTTGGTACCTAGACTAGGGTGAAATATAAGTGCTCCTCTGTGTGCACATGAATAAAGAAAGGGTATAGTAACAATTTTGGTTCTGATGTAGCAGCATTAATCAATTTTAATATACTTAGAGAAAGCTTCTCTCTGTCTCTGATTGTAAAAAGGAAGGATAAGGCAGCTACTCATTCAGAGTATAGGAACACAGGAAACTGCTTCATACTGTTGGATTGTTGGCCTGTCTCTGTTCTGCCTATATGAAGTGGCAGAGGCTCATCAAGGGGACTGATGATGCAACAGATCAGTGGGGTAGCGATGAGTACTCAGCCTGACAGTCCCCTGCCCGTGCCCTCAAGGGAAGTCCTAAAGTGTGGGCTGCTGTGTTGATCCATCGCTCCTCCTGGGTTCGGTACTGCCAACATGAAAATCCAACCTCCCGGGTTAAGTGTGAGCTGTTCTTCAACAGCAGGATGTTGTTGAAATGTGGGTTATTGTATTAGCCTGAATCCAGCTGCACCAACAACCCATGGCTTGTTAACTGCAAATAATCCATAACTTAAACTCAAGGTTTGTTGTTGTTCTCAACTATGGGTTTTCACCAAAGTTTATCTTTACTGGATTCAGACACAACAATCCATGTTTCAACAAAAAAACCATACTTCAAAAACAACTCAGGTTCAACTCTTGGGTGTGGGCTATCATGCCCTCGGAACCAAATTTCTCTTGGTGTCTCTCTTCCTCTAGGATGCTTGGGCATGCCACCATGGGTTGGGGCCTCTGCCAGTTGTCATGGTTGGTGGTGCTTGTGTCTTATTGTGCAGTGTGAATTCAGCTTGTTGAGGCAGTTAACAAACCACCTCAGAACTCTTCTGCAGCACATGGGTTCTGTGTGTCTTCTTACTGATGGCAACAGGCCACCTTGCCTAGCTTTGCATTTCATGATAAACTGTGGTAAGACTGCAATGGCTGGAATAGTTGGAATGGGTAGGTATGCCCAATACTGGGTGGAAAATTGTGGCTATATTTCCCTTGCCACACTTACTACTTGTGAGCTACATAATTTAGCATGATGATGCTACAAGAAACCATAGGTTTCAGGGTGGTTTATTAACCCTCCCACCAACCCACCCTTCCTGGGTTCAGACCTTATGGAAACCAACACCCAGCTGATTGGGTATTTCTATGGCTTGTTTCCCCTCTGTGATTATGTGACCCTGCCTCTGACTGTTCATTTCATTTAATCTAATACATCTCTGTATTGCCGAATTGCTGAAACTCTCTTGATGCTTTACATAAATTAAAACATGAAAAACACATTATAAAATCCCCATCCATTCAAAAATATAAACAGACAATGCACAGCTAAATGTGCATATCTAAACCAACCACAAACAATTAGCAAGAAAAAGCCAGGACTTGTTTAAAATCCCATCATTTGCTAATTTGTAAAGCGAATTTCCATTCAAGACCAAACCAGCCCAAAATACTCTGCTGGAATATGTCACAGCAAAATATAATTGCTGTGAAGTACCTGTCCCTACCCACTACTGTGTTGATTGCAGCTAAACACGGGGGGCCAGGAACCTGGGGAGGCAGATAACATCCTCCTCGCCACTAATCTTGAAGTCCTGGTGGGTCAGTCCTGCAAAGCTTGGTGCCAGTACAACACTGCCAGGAACTGATCCACGGCATGCACTCAGCCACTGAGCGTCCTTACCTTTCTCTCTGTGTGGGCAGTAAGGCTTGCAAAGGCCTCTCATCAGTATTTTTCTCAGGAACTGAAACTGGAGGAAGGAGAGGATGTATTTTTATGAGTGAAACCATGGAGGACCCTTTGTCTTTAGCACATGTGGAAGTGGGCAATATGGCAGTAAAAAAGGAAAGAACAGAAAAGAATATTTCATAGTCATTGCTGTTTCATTACATTTTATTGGAGTTTTAATTAAAGTTAGCTACATTAACATTTTTGTGCCATTTTGCACAGTGCCGTTAATGAACTTTTAGAATACAGGGAGTTCATTTTGAGTGGCTGCTTTTGTGTCCAATAGTTCCAGTCCTTGAACTGATGTACTTATTAGTTAATTCACAAGAACAGCTAGAAAGCAACTAATTTCTGAACATAAAATTCCATTATGTGATGAGAAAGAGCATCATACTGCGGTTACTGTTTTTGGAAGTGACCCGTGATGAATTCTTACTTTGTCCATTTTAGGAAACACTGTGCCAAGGTCAGGTTGAAATTAAATACCTACAACTAGAAAATCCCGATACTGCATCTCATCTGGAAAGTTGTGGGGAGGGTATTCAGAGAGTTCAAGGATTTCAGAATAGGACATTTCTTGGCCTCTAATTATTTACTTAATATATTTTGCACAGGACAGCACCAGTTCTTTTTGGCACACTATCTGAGAATTACTGAGTTAGTAATGTAGTTAAAAATAGTACACAACATAGACAGAATTTGCATAACACAGCAGTGGTGGCTAACTAGTCAAGGTGGATCAGCATTTCAAGAACACCTTGGCTGCATTTACAGGTTTATTGGGTTTACAGTAAATGGATTGGGCTGCACTTTCCCATTTTGCTAGGCACCTAGAGGATCAGGAGAGGGTGTAAAAGCTGAAGAACACTGAGAACTCATAAGTCCAAACAAAAAAACTAGAGGATCTCACTACAAAGGGGGTGATATACTTGCCATTCCCTTTTGCAAGCGAACATCTCATGCCTTCACTTTGCACTTGACAGCTCCTCGTTGATAGCTGTCAAGTGAAAACAAAGTAATGTGTCCAAAACCTGGCTTTTTCAGCATCCACAGACCATGCCTACACTGCACAGCCAAAGCTTCAGATTTTAGGTGGTTGGAGTTGTATACTTGGCAGCTCCAAACCGAAAATACAAATCCAGTAAAATTACTGAACATATTTGTGCACCTTTCTGGCACATAAAAAGAAGTCGGGAACCAGTGGCACTTTGGAGGGATTGACACTGCTTGTCACTTCAGATATGATGAAAAGCAATCTCTAAAAAGGGGGGAAACCTTGATCATCACAAAAATGTTTGTAATCCTAACGGGGAGAGAAGACAAAGATTCTGTTGTGCAGGTCCCTGGGGCACCTGTGAAAAGACTGAGGGGGAAGGAAGGAGGGCGACTCATGGAGAGTTCAATCATCTTGTTCCATGAACAACTCACACAGCGGAGCTTATTAATAGCATGGGTGGCTGCCTTGCACAAACCCTTCTATACCATAACAACTGGGACCCACAACAAAGAGTGGCCACATGGAATGCCCCTGCTCAGAGTTTCAGCCACCTGGTCCCTTTCCAGTCATCTCTATCATCTCCCCACCAAACTCTCAATGATCCATAGCCACTGAGCATGCTCAGTCCTCACTATATTTTTATGGTGCCCCCTCCCTATAGGTAGTTTTGGCAGAGCAGGTACTTTTGCAAACTTTTGTCTTTCCTGCCCTGCCAATATCATTTTCCTCTTGGATGGTGCCATTTTGGCAACACAAGGACTGAGATTTGGAAGATGTTTTCCTAATTACTATACAGCTGATACAAATGTCTGCATGGAGAAACAAAGGAATCAGTTGCTTGCTTTTGTAGACAGCACATTCAGTGAACACATGTAAGTTTAACTAAGGGTTGTAGTACCAGTCTGCATTGCTTTTGGAATGCTACTTTTCCTTCAATTCTTTCAGTCCAGTCCTTCAGAAGGCAACAGATACTTGAAAATATGGCTACCTACAAGGTGCATTAAGGCAGCTATCCCTGTTCTTGGAACCAGTGTAAATGAAAGAATCTGGAGGGTTCGTGCAGATGTTCAAATCATCCTTCAGGGCTTGAAAAATTCTTTGCATTTTTACCTAATTAAAAGAAATGAGGGGTCAAGGGGGAAAGAGTAAGGGAAAGAGAACTTTTGTCAAAGATGCAGAACTGTTACTATATATAGGTACCTGTGTTATAGCTGAGTAAATGAAGCGCTTAGGTCTGATTTTCCTGACGTATTGTCCTCCACATGCTTTGAATTGCAACTCTCACCAACTCTGCCCATTGGCCTTTCTGGTTAGACCTAGTGGTGGTTATAATTCAAAACATCAGGAGGGCACCAGACTGGGGGAGGCTGTTAGGCCAATCCACTCTACTATGAGAGCCTCATTCACAGGCCTTCTTCCAATTTAATTTGCTTTCCATTTTCAAGCGGTTCACCCAGATAGTTCAGAAATGGCTACAGCAACACAGATACATGTTTTGCTTCAGCCAAGGGTGGCTTACTGCCCCTTCGGTCTTTCTCCTGACGTCAGCCACCTGATCTGGCTAGATCGTAAAAGGGGAAACATGTATGTGAACTACACAGGGGACCTAGATTGTGATTCACCCATATCTTTAGAGCAGGGCCAGTCAACTTGTGGTCCTCCAAATGCTTTGGCCTAGGACTCCCATAGTTCTTCACTACTGTCTACTGTTTCCTCTCTACTGTATTGGCCTAAAGGTGCCGTAATTAAGTGGTGAATACACACGTGCTAGAGCCATTGTCTTCAAACTTAACCTCCAGGTCACTCTTTTGTCAACAATTTTGTCAAGGAATCTCTGCAAGTTACAAAGCATTCCATGGACAGTGAATTTTCTAAATATATAGTTACAGCATGTTGTTCGAAGGTGTTCCTATTTATGTTTATGGTCTTGAGGTTTTAAATTGTTGCAGATTACCTTGACGGCTTACTCACAAATAAGGCAGTACATAAATATTAATAATAAATGTATTTTAGTTAGCCTTCCCCTTTCTAAGGATGCCACACTGTAGCACTCAACTAGCTTGAAAGGCAAATACCAATAAAAACAAATTACTTTCCCAGTACAAACTTCTCAGCCCATGTTCAAGCATGCTCTCTTTGCCTTTTCATGGAGGATATCAGCGACTACATTATGGCTATGTATTACCCTTTGCAGCATCGGAGGGCATCATGGAATTACACACCAACTGCTGGGAAACACAAGCAGGAGAGCACTGCTCTGTCCATGGGCCACTGATGGAAGAGTTGTGATAGGATCCCATAGGCTCGATAGCCAATGGATGGGGAATTTGTGGATTTGTTTTACCTTACAATTCACATCAGCCCTAGCTAGCATAGTCAGTGGAGGCCTGAGTTGTGATGGGCATGGTAGTACCAAACATTTGGAAGAATATGGGTTGCCCATGCCTGAGGTGGCTTGGATTTGATACAGCGGAGCTATCCTCATGTTCTTAACCCTGCCAGCATGATTCTGAGAGGCAGAACACACCTTTTCTTCATCCCCCTATAGCTTATAATTTCATTTTTTTGTTGCTTAAAATGGAGCTCAATGTGTTATTCAAGAACCCTAATGCAAATACTTGTCCTTCCTTGTCCTTTGAGATCAGCCTTGGCTCTTGAAATTAATCTCAACACAGCAAGCTAAATTTTAGCAGCAGCCTTAAAAAAAAAGTTTATGAGTAAGAAATAAAAAACAAGAAATCTATCATTTGTCACAATAGGGGTTATTTCCTCATTTGCAAGGGTTTTCATTATTCTGGTTTGGAGGCCTGAAATTTATTAATGTCATAGAAACAGTGGTTCAAAATTGGATGATTTAAGGGCCTCTTTGTCATGAGATAACACAAGAGTTTCCTACATGGAAGTACTTTGCAATCGCTGTCACTTGGGAGGGAATTGGACAGAAGATTTTCTTTCTATTATTTATTCACAATAATTTATAAACTGCCTTCAGGTTGTAACTGTTCTCCCAAGGTGGCATATAACATTTCATTAAAACAGTAAATACTAAAATATAACCATCCAATTAAAACTATAATGCACAAACTAAGAATTAATGAATCCTAGCACATACTAAAGAAAGGCTGAGTGAAATTAAAATGTTACCCCCAGATTATTAATGCTTCTGAAGATGGATCCACACACATTTTCTGGGAGGCATGGACCACAGACAAAAACCTCCTGTCTCTGCTGTCAGCCAGTGGAACATCTCTTATTGATAAGCCTGAGAATAGGGTGTTTTTTAAGTGGTGGCAAAATCTGATACTAGTATTGGTGGACCTTTCAGTAAAGCGGTCTTAAATTGTTTAGTGCTTTCATGGCCAATTTCATGGGCAGGTCTCTCTCTCCCCCTTTTCCACTCCAGCAAACACAGATGAAACTTTAGAAGAAAATCCTTCTATTAAAGTGTAGCAGGTTACGAAACAGTAAAAATTGGCACAGTGTTCTCTTCGAGAGGTGAGAGAAGCATCTGCCCATGTAAACAGCTGAAACCCAATGGAAACTCTTTTCCTTCCTTTCCAAAAATATTCCAACTCTACCATCAGGGTGGATTCTCTGGTTTGAGGCTCCCTGGCAGAAACGCCGGGCACTTCGCAACTGGTCCACTCATTTCTCCTGTTGGTTTCTGAATGAGTCAAGGAACTCCTTCGTAACCTGCTCCCTACCAGCTCTACAATGTCTCCCTCCTTTTCCAAGGCAGGCTGGCTCTCATGCTCTGCCTGAGAATCCTCACCAGCTAACGTTGGCACTGCCAAGACAATCGCCCAAGTCTGCCCATCTGCTACTTCCCCAGAACTTGATTAATTTAGCTAAGCAGATGGTATATTGTTAGAGCTGGTCCTCCTCTACAACCAAGACCAGTATTTAAATTAGGAGCCTGGAAGCAAATTAGGGCTGTTTCTTTGGGTGAGGGGCAATGAAGATCACCACCTTGACCACCAGATCCTAGGGTCATCAAAATGAATCTGTGAAGGTAGTCACAGCAGTCCAACTCATCCTCGGCAGCTGCTGACCTATCCATTGCACCCAGAAAGCAAGCCTGCTTGCTCATCTCTCACTCTGAGAGATATCCTGGCATGAAACATCAGGTGGGCACTCTGGGTAGCCCCAGCAGTTGCCAGGGCTTGGCCCAAAGCCAGCCAGGCCCAAGTGCTGAATTTTGAGGGATCCTTCCTTCAAGCAAGGCATGCCGGGTGAAGTGACTATGAAGATTGCCATGTCTCCCCTCCCTCCCAGAAGGTTTCGCCTTCATCAGAGTACTACATGGAGGGAGATACAAGTGGTGGGAACAGTGGAGGGCAAGAAGGGGGAGAGTATTGGCTGGGAGGAGAAAGAGGTCAGATCAGAGCGAGGGATGCCAGTGATGGAGGGGAGATGAGAGAAGTGCCACTGGGGGATGTTGGGGAGCAGGAACATAAGGGGGATAGTGGTCGGGTGTCCACCAGGATGCCAAAGTACCATCTTACCTAGGGCACCAAATACCTAGAGACAGGTCCAAAGCCCACGGATGACCTGTGCAACTGGTACAGAATGGATGTTGTATATTTGGAAGTCTGTGATCCTCTTCACATTCTTGCTATTTAACCTGCACCAACTGAAGTTTCCAAACCATCTTTAAAGGCAGCCCTGAATACAGAGCATGGGTCACTGTGGGTTTCAGTGGAGTCCCCGCATTCCCATATGGGAAGAACTGACTGGGTCCTGATCTAGGCAAGGGTGCTTTGCAGTGTGCCCAGCAGGAGAGGGGAGAAGAGGGAAGTGATTCTACAAAGGTTTGAATCATCCCCTTTAACACACATATCTGCTTTCAAGCTCAAAACCATTATTCTTCCATGTTTGTTGTCCATGGAATTTATGGAGCGATTTAGAACTAGAAATGCCATAGGCATTACAAGAGGCTTGTTCCCAGAATAGTACATTTCCCACCCTTCTGATTATGCGCAATAATTTTGGGCTGTTCAGTGGCTTAGTTTCACACTTCAGCAAGTTTTACTCCACTGCCTTCTATCCACAGAAACAAGATGCTCTATTATGCCTGAGTGAGCTGTAAAATATTTGCCTTCTTCAACAGATAAGGGAATCAGATGACATCTGTGGCAACTGTTGACAACTCAAAAGTTTAGCTGAGCTTGTTAGGTTTGGAGTCTAAATTATACACACAACCACAACAAGGTAAAAGCATCATGAACTACCAAGAGCCAGCTTCTTGTCGCTGACACAGAAGAAATAAATGCTTTTTCACTCCCAAGTTTTGTGTACATTACTAAGCCTAACAGTAAAAGTAGAACAATAAAAGTAAAAACACGTCTAACATTAAAGAGGAACTTTTTGAAGTCATTACTGCAAAATTCCAGGTTCCTGTAGGGCAGCCTTCCCAAAGTGGGGCACTCCAAGTGTTTTGAACTACAGCTCATGGCCAATGATCAGGAATGCTGTGAAGTTTGGGGTTGATGGGATCTGATACCAACACACATAAAAGCCGTGTCTGAGCTTTTCAGTAGCAACAAATATGGGAGAAGCTGCTTCTCCAAATATGATTTCTGTCATATGTCAGAGTTTTCCATGGTGCAGCAACTTTGGGCCATACACACGAAGGACCTTGCTTGGCTCTGGAACAGGTTGGAACCCAAAGTAGGGACTCACTGGTTACACTAAGATACTGGGAAGACTGATACAGGCAACCAGGAGCCATCCTTGTGCAATGTGAACACCTGAAGTATCCAACCAACAGGGGACTTCTGATTCCCCTTCCTTGCTCTTCTGGGGATAAAACGAAGGCCAGCCCGTAAGAATCGCAGAGCAGCTGCAATGCCTCCACGACTTGTATATACGTAACCTTTGCATCCTGTAGGATGGGGGAAGGTTTGAGGTTTTTTTTTAAGCAATTACACAAGTAGCAATATCAAGCTGCCTTGTCCTCTGACTCCATAGCTTTCCAAGAATACGTTGACTTAAGAAAGATGTTTACTTATGATTTCTTAAGATTACTTAAGAAAGCAAACTAAACTTGCAGTGCTGGTGCATACCATCCCTTGTGCAAGAGGATGCAAATAATTACAAATTGGCAGCTAATCTTTCTTGGGAATGGGGAGGGACTCTCTTTTTGGGCTTTTCTGGATTCTTAGCCTCACTCAGGCAGGCTCAACAGGTTCAGGTAATTAGTTCTGAGGCTAGGGATCACAACTGTGCACTAATGGCTTGTAATTTACCATGGCAGGTGGCTCTTTAAGAAGATGAAGGAACTAGAGTTCTTCTGGTGCTACCCTGTGCTTGTTTAGACAGAAACGTTCTTCCAGAAGTTTGAGGCCTGGCTGTTTCATGCTCTGATCATCTGGAATGTTAAAATCTTCACAGACTATCTTGAAATTACTGAAGAACGCCTCCATATTATCTCTTGTTAGCTATCTTCTTGGGAACATCTTCATGTCTATTTGTGTGACAGCAGTTATAGAACCCTCCACAGCATCCCCCTCTCTGCTGGTTTTCTTTAAGTCTCTGCTTAATCACTTCTAGTTTAAGTTTTTCTCCCCACCTTCTCTTCATCTTTCCCCATTCGAACTGGTTGGCTGGGACTTGTAGGGCTGTTTTCTGTCTAAATATGTGTACAGTTGTGCCTTTCCTGTATAATCATTGGCTGAACAGGGTGATTCATGCCATAATCCCAAACACATGAACTATGCAGTAAGGCCCACTGAATATGGTGAGACTTACTTCTGAGTAAAATGGATAGGATTGTACTGTCGATACACAAAGCTGGGAACACAACCCCAAACCAAACCCACAAAAAAGGCTATTAGACAAAACCAAAGCCTAAGCCTGTGGATTGGTCTGACAAATGTCAACAACTGAACACAAACTAAAACACAAGGACATATGAAGAAAAACAACAAAAACTGCCAAAGAAGATAGACGTATCTTAAATAATTATCTGTTTTTTTTAACTCATTAATTGGATGTGGTTATAAGAGAAGATATAAAAGCAAGAAAAATCCCTACGAATAAATAGGGCTCTGCAAAAAACCTCAGTCATGCCAATCATGTGTGCACAGTGCAATATGCCAAGGAAATTGTGTGACCTACAGTACACGTGGGGAGGGTCATGTTGGGGCCATATGGGAGCCTTCCTGAACCTTCCGGTCTGAGCACAGATGCCACTGAATTCCATCCTTTGTCTTGAAAAACAGAAGGCTGCGAGGGTTTGGTGCAGATCTCTCCAACTGGATATCCTCCAGATGTTTTGGAACACAGGTTTCACCATTCCTACCATTGGCCTTTCTAGCGAGAGCTGGAGGAAGTAGATTACCTTGAACCTCACAGCATAAACCTGCATCTCAGTTTTGTTGTGAAGATAAGATTGAGAAGGGTCACCATTTACATGGAGTGGTGTGGTGTGGATTGCTGGACTAGGGACCCAGGTTCTGCTCCCCACTCAGTCGTGAAGCTCAGTGTGTGACTTTGGGCCAGTTACTCACTCTCCGTCCAACCTACCTTGCAGAGTTGTTGCTGAGTGGATTAAATAGACCCACATAAGCTGCTATGCATATAGTTTGCTTGAAAATCTATAAACATGTGGGCTGCATTTGAGAATGCTGCAAGCATGACAATGAGGAGTCTCAATAGGGTGACATTAAAGTCTGTACAAGGGGATGTTGAATCACTTTTAATCTGATGGCCGGATTCAATTTCAGAGAAGCTCTTGGAGCGCATGTTCTAGTTAAAATGCAAGATGGATAAGATGTTGGGTCAAAACACCAACATCACTAGTAAGCTTTAGTTTAAAACTCTTACTACCACAAGTAACTCTGAAGAGAAGCAACCTTTAAAATGGGGTAAAATGGCAAAGCTGAGAAACCTCCAAATGATTGGCAGTTGGGAAAGAGGAGAAGCCAGGAGAAGAAGGCGCGGCCACATGGGGGAGTCAGATGGAGACCCAGGCAGCTTGAATGTAACTCTTAGCATGAGGTTCAGCAACCCACTTTCTGGGTTGTAAGGTGTGTCCTTTGTCAGCAATTAATTCAGAACCATGTGTTGAGTGTACAAAGTAACCCGCTTGACTTTAATAACAGGTTTTCCAATATTCTTTAAAAAAAATAACCTAAAATTGTGCTCTGATCGTACTGAGATTCATACTAATGTCTGAATACTAGGGCTACCAAACCCACCCATTCTATCAGAGTTGTTCCACTTAGAATGACACAAAACTACTCTCCAGTCAAATTACTCTGCAATTATCATAATTACTTCTTAATTGTCTTTTATACTGAACAAGGTTAACTCCCACATAACCTCTTGTCTCGGAGAACACTACGGAAGAACACCAGCACTTACAGGCAAGGCAGCCCTGCATTTTTTGTATCTAGTATAATTAAGGGTTGTTTCCTGGTTGGCCAAAATGATTTATCTGGGCAATTTGTGGCAGTGGGGACATGAAAAGGGCAGTGATTTTTAAAGTGATACTGAAAATACTACCCTGCTACTAACCATTGCTTGCTCCAGAGTGAGGGCAGAGGTTGCAGTGGGGAACAGGAGGAGCTCTTCCAGGGGGTCCTTGTCATTAGCTTTTCTTGTCGTGGACTCAGGGCCCTTGGCAGGTATCTCCCCAGGCTGGCCCACTGTGGCTGGGGCCTTGAATTCTTCACTTGGAGCCCCAAATCTCCAGGAAGCCATATTGCCCCCACCCTGCTCTCCATGGCACTTGCCAATATAAAAGTACAGAGGCCCTGACAATCAGTGTGCATCTGATTAGTTGCCTTTGCATCTCCTATGTGTCTTGCCACCCACTACCCATTGCTTAGACTCTTCTGCCTGAAATTAGTTGCCCTTCTTTCTCTGGTCCACACATCCCTTTTTACAAACAGGGGCATCCTTAGAAGACAGGGTCATTTAAAGACACACACAAAGACTTTAGTTAGAGCATCTGTAAATTGATATATACAAATTTGCACATTTCCCCCCTCTGTGGGTCTGAGCCTCAGATCCTTTGGGTGCCTGCACTACTCCTGTACCAACCCCTTGGAAATACTGGAAATGGCCATGCTCTTTTCAAATGACCATTGGTATTCATGATAAGCCAAGTAGCTAAAAACAGCATTATGATGGACAATGCTATGAAGGTGGACAATTGAATGCCCGCCCAGTCCCCCCAAGATCTTCTCTGGGTATTTGAACATGCAAACTATCTTGCCCTGTATAGCTGCCAGATTCTGCTCAGGATGCACGTTCTGCCATCAAAACAGGTTTCCAGCAAGGGCGTTTGCAGCCTGGAGACTGTCAAAGATGGCGGCAAGGCTGTGTTGTTTAGCTCATGTTTCAATTGAACTGTTTCTAAAAGTGGAGGATTACAAATCCTTGCAAGCTTTATCTGTTGCTTCAAATGGCAGTAACAGCAGAAATGCATCATGGCCAACATTTTTCACAAGAAGGGTCTTCCTTCATCTAAGCGTGCTACATATTTCATGTTGGGCTTAGCTTGTGCTATGGATGTATAGGGCAGGAGAAGTCATTTTTTTGTTGCCTTTGTCTGCTTCACATAAAATTCAGCCTGTTCCTGTCACTTCATGCAGTCATCTTTTTTTATTATTCCTTTTCTAATTAGGAAGCGTAGCAGCCCAAATGGTATAAATTGCTTTTCTAGACAGATGTAGCAGTATTCCACTGCTGGTGACAGCGTTTTTCATAAAGTATATATTTTTTGCTCACCTCATCAAGGTCACACCTTCTGTTTCTAATGTGCCTCTGAAAAACACTGCCTAACGCCCTTAGAAAGAGAATAAAATCATACATCAGCAGAGACGCAATAGGCAACAATAAAAATAGCAACAAGGAAAAAGAGGGGCTAGCCCGTTTTTAAAAAGCAGTAAATAAAAGTCTTGAATTTTAATGCATGCCCTAGGATTTATATGTTTTATCATTATACAGAGTAAGATTGTTCCTGAGAAACAAAGGCTTCTTTACACCTTATGCATGTTGATTTGCAGTGTAATCTTAAACGTGTGTAGTCAAAAGTTAGTCCCTTCGAGCTCAACAGGATTTACTGCCAGGTAAGTGTGTATAGGATTGCAGCCTATATATACTTACTTAGGGGCCAGTAAACCTCACTGAAGTTAATGGTTACTTCAAAGCAAACAGACATAAAATTGCACTGTTAAGTCTCCCCCTAAAAATGTGAAGCGTCCACATCACCAGAACATTTGCATACTGGGATATCTCCCTCTTGGGACTGGTCTGCCTCATTGCAGGGTAGGTAACAAGCCACATGCATCTGTCAGATCAATTTGCAAAATTGCTCTTGCCGGTGTGGCTTTTCATGTCCTGCAAATATGGTGAAGGTGGCTTGCTGAGTGGGTAAGAAACCATGCAGGACTCAGACTGTTGTAGGATGGTCTGTCACCCATTTCACCAAGACACCCTCACCAGGTTTGCATGGCACATGGGAATGCACTGGCAAGGGGGATGTAAATCCGAGCAGCATGCAGCTGACAGGGTAGTCAACAAGTGTCCGTGGTTTGCTAATGAGCCTACCACTTGGCAAACCAATTGCCTACCCTGCACAAGCTGAGAGATGGGCCTAAAACAATTCCTAATGGCCTTCACTTAAAAACCAATAGTCATGTGACTGACGGAGCAATTCTTCCTTTAACCTTCACTTATTGCAATGCGATGCTTGTTGGCTTGGAAGGAAGCTGCACTTTGGATCACATGTAACAGCAAAACTGAATGCACACATGTGGCTCAGGCTAACTTCCCAGTGCAGCTAAGCTGAGGCAACACTCCTCCGAGGCTCAGCTCGACCTGTAGCATTCACCCCTGCACTTACTGTGCCAACCCAATTAGGGTAACCAGACCTGTATATACAGAATGAAAAGTAACAATACTATAAGCAGGATCAATAGTTGTGATATGAGAAAAAAATAACCTAAGGGAAGTGTTTTCCCTTGTAGGAAGGGAGGCATCGTTCTTCTCAAGGTGTGTCAACTGTGCTGCATGTGGAGTGTGCACGTGTGTTGGAACAGGCACCAGAAGCTGTATCACCAAGCTCACACGTGTGTGCGCTTTTGATATAAAGTTATGAACAGAGTGTTCCTGCACTTATGCATGTGAAACTATATATAATTTCTTTCTCTATAGAAGTAAATTCCATGATGATTACTAAAAAAGTCTGAATGCTCACTCTTTTCTGTAACAGCTTCCAATTATAATGTCATTTGTGACTTCTTGAAGGAGGTGAAGGTACTTTGATTCTTCTTCTCTTAAGAAACATGAAATCACAGATTAATAAATCAAAAGAAGACTGGCTGTTATGTTTTACCTCAGCATTTTTTCCTCATATAATGTAATCTAAAATTGAGATGAGTTAGGTGAAAAACATTATAATGATATTGGTATGATCTAGCCAAATGCAAGTACTTTAGAGACCCATTGCTTTAATGGAGGAATTAAGTATATGCATGACTTTTTCTTTTCCAGTCAGTGCAAATAAAACCAACGGTCTGTCTAGCCACCTACTTTGACTGTCAACAGCTCTACAAGGTCTCAGGGTGATGATTTTCCTATCCCCGCTACATCCAAATCCTTTATATTGCTTGGGATAAACCTGGGTCCTTTGGCAAACACAACACACAACTCTGCCCCTGAGCTGTTGGCCATCCAAGACTGGCTGGACTGTGGCCAATGAAACAATCATTTGTACTGGTAATTAAGGAAATGATTGTGGAGGCAAGTGAGCAGAAGTGAACAGTGACCATGGTGGTCCATCCTTCTTAGAGGTTTCTGTATGAATCTAACAATAACCATCAACAAAAGAAAAGTCACAAAGTTAGATAATTTGTCTTACTCAGGGATTTTCCAGAAGCATCTGCGTGGCCACACTGTGGGAAAAATGGCACAGGACTAGATAGACCATTCGTCTTATCCAGCAGGGCTCTTCTTATGTTCCTCTAATTGAATTGGCTTCATTGTCACAGTTGCTTTAATCTTTTATAAGCCTCACATTTCTAGTATATTATTCAATGGAGAACAGAGCGGTTGATTAGTTTTAAAAAGGGCATAATTCACTTACTTTGCACGAAGCAGTGACTGAAGAGAAACTGAATTCTGGGAGCATTTCTGTAATTTTTAAACATGAATAAAATTAAATAAGAAATTGGTTTATATTATACGTAGTGGTGGAGTAAATTCTTGTACCGATATTGGACAAATTACTTTCTAGAACAGAAATCCCTGCAAAGGATGACCCTAGATTCCATCAAATGCAGGATCAGTTCTGGAAAGATATTATACACGTGCCTTCATATAAATGTACATATTTGCATGTGTTCCTTGTACTTTTGTAGGAATACCTGTATCCATGCATCGCATATCAAATATGATCTGGGCCTGCTTGCTTCCCATGTGTATTTTTAGGTACAAAGAGATCAAATGTAGCCTGCTATACCATTTCAAGCTGTAGGTTTTGCAGATGTTCTGTACTGTAGCCTGTGATTCAGGGTTTTGTGAGGGGTTAGCTCTTAGGGGAGCTGGGTTCATTTTCTCAAGGAAGCCAGACAGGAAGAGATCAGTACCATGGAAAGCGTTAAATGTGACACAGTGCTGCCTTCAAAACTTAGAATCATAGAATAGTAGAGTTAGAAAGGGCCATGAAGGCCATCCGGTCAAGCCCCCTGCAGTTGCAGGACACCAATTTACACTTGTTCAGATAATTCAGCTGGTCCAGAATTCTGTAGCCAGATTGTTGACTGAGATTGGATACAGTGTACAGACAACTCCTCTTTTACAACAGCTTCTCTGGCTACCTGTCAGTTTCTGGGAAGAGCCCAAAGTGTTGATGATGACCTTTAAACCCCTCTATGACTTGAAGAACCTTCTCCCATACAAGCTTGCCTAGTTTTTCAGACCTTCAGGAGAGGCTCTCCATTAAGACTAATGGGATGCAGGTGGCGCAGTGGTTTAAACTGCTGTGCTGCTGGGCTGGTTGATTGAAAGGTTGCTAGTTTGAATCTGCACAACGGGGTGAGTTCCCGTTGCTCCATCCCAGCTCCTGCCAACCTTGCAGTTCAAAAGCATGCAAATACAAGCAGATAAAAAGGTACCACTTTGGTGGGAAGGTAACAGCGTTCTGTGCACTTCGGTGTTTAGTCATGCCGGCCACATGACCATGGAGACTGTCTGTGGACAAACGCTGGCTCCCTCGGCCAGGAAACAGAGATGAGCACTGCTCCCTAGAGTCAGGCATGACTGGGCTTTAATGTCAAGGGGAAACCTTTACCTTTACCTTACTTGGTGGTAATGAGAAAGAGGGCCTAAGTGACTGGTGAATTCCCTGCCAAGAGAAACTAAATTTGCTCCTTCTCTGCTGTGCTTCCACTGGCAGGCAAATGACACTCCATCAAGCAGGGTTTTGGTGTGTAAGTTGGTGCTGTTTTCACACTGTTATGGGTTTTTCAAAATTAGGTTTTAATGCATTTGCTTATTGTCCTTTTTACCACTGATTGCAAGGCACTCCGAGTGCCAGTTTTGGTGAAAAGTAGGCTACAAATCAAATCAAATCAAATCGTGATCCTGCCTAGCTGTGCAGTTAGGATGCTGGGAAAATACATAAAATTAATGTCAGAATCTAAAAATGCCAACCCCAATCAAATTTCAAAGCTGGTTTGTAAAACATGCTGACATGACAAAAATGCCCCTTTGTTATTGCTGTTGCCCTCTTTTGAAGAATGTGTGAACCAGGAGCAAGAAACAAACAGCACAAGCCTCTGTTCTGAAGTTTGGCTGGTGTTTTGCCAAAGAGACAAAATTCTGATGACAATCTGAGCCTTGTTTTGAATGGCTCAAAACAAGGTTGCAAATCATTAGTACCGGGTAGGGTAGTCATCTTATTTGTATGAGTTTTGTAGGGACGCTTCAGCATAGGAAGTAGGAATGTGCATTTGATTATAAATATTACATTGGCATACTTCTACTTTCCATTCTGAGACTGTTCTCAGTTTTGATTTTTAATCTCCTCTATTCAGTAATTGCCAAAAGGAGAAGGAAAAGGAAACACTTAGAGCTCAGAGGCAATACATGTTGTTGCTGTTGTTTTTGTTGCTATGAGCAAGTATGCGATTTTGAGAAATGAAATAATATCTCAGTTGCATCCTCCCACATGATTTCTGGCCACATTTGCAGTCGATTTCTGGAGGGAGAATTCTGGATTTGGGGCAATTCCACTATGGTTTAGAAATGTTTTAAAAATGCTGTTTGTACTTTCAAGACAGCTTTGCAATTTTAGATTTATATTGCCAAAGCATCATGGTCACTACCTCCCTTGAAATACTAGATTTTCCAAACTGTGCCATTTTCAGTTGCTTTCATAACCAGCTGGAACCCATGTGGCACAGCACTCAGAGTGCTGGAGTATGACTCAGGAGACCAGGTTCTAGTCCCCACTCCGCTATGAAGCTTTTTGGGAGACTCTGGACCAGATATGGCATTTCAGCCTAACCCACCTCACAGGGCTGTTGTAAGGATGAAATGGAGAGGAGGGGAATCTTGTAAGGTGCCTTGGGAAGGAAGCAGGATATAAATGTAATGTGATATAATAACACTATCAGCAATAAAATCATACTGCAGTATTCACAGCATAATCCTATACATTATTTTTCAGACGTTAGTTCCCACTGAGTTCAACAGAACTTTCTCCTGGGTAATGAGCTAAAGGATTGCAGCCTCACTGTGGATTTTAAAAGTCAGCCATACCTGATGCATTTTTATCATATTATAAATTGCTTGCTTTTTCTCTAAAATAACCTTATATAGGGATCCAGAATTGCTCCTATTTATAAATCCTACTACTCATATCATTCAATACCAAACAGGGTACAACAACCTTGACTGGTTGCCATCGATGGTTATCTGCATAAGGTTTTAGACATTCATCTTCCAAAGACCTGAAAGATGAGAAAGGAAATTTTGAGCAACACTGACAGCAGGTTGAAATTATTTGCTTGGAATGGAAATCACACAGACTACAAAATTATGGTCCTTGAACGAATGCATTAGGAACATATAAGGATTTGTTGGACTCCCCCACTTGAGACTGAAAGCACTCCTATTACCTTGGGAGGGGGAATCTAACATCAGGCTATTTTCCTTCTTCTTTGAGTTTGCTATTTAAAGCTTTACTAAGGTCATGACGCTAATCTCAGAAGATCTTGGAGAGGTTAAAAAGGGAACCTTCTCATAGGCAGGAAGGCAGAGGAGGAGGCCTCCAAGGTCCTATGGTCTTTCCATCATCACCTCTGTCCACAGCTTGGTCTATCCAGCTGAGTTTTTATTTTTAAAGAACGGGAGGTGAAATTACCTTCGCTCTTTCCCACTCCACCTAGCCTTGCCAGGTGTGCATAGAAGAGATCCATTTCATAGGACTGTTTTCAAAATCTTACACAATTCAATGTAGTCAAACTAATGCAAGCATTGATGAGCATTTTACCTGCAACTCTTTCTTGGTTGTTTATGCATTTGTTGGTCAACAGAGGGGCTTTTCTTTCCATTTGGAGAATTATAGTACCTGTATTTTGAAAGGAATGATTTACTTGCTGTTTTTAAGACTTTGGGGGTAAAAGGATCTTTTGACTCTGTAAACCACTGTGCATGGGTGTCCAGTAGATCTCCACCAAGGAGTTTCTTCTGAGGGATAGAAAATACCTTCTTCCTTCTGGATCTCAGAGTTAGTGGTGCAGTGCGTTGCTGGGATGCATTTTGGCCATGATTGTGCATCTGAGATAAATACCACTGAACAATATCTTGAATATTCTCCTCTGCAGACAAAGCTGGGGATGGAGTATGAGAAAATGCTGTCTTGAAATATCTTGGAGAACACTGTCCTTTTTCCCCCAAGGATGACATTCTTCTACTACCAGCCAAATTCAAACTGTTCTGTATGCAGTGTAGATATAAAAAGACAGAAAAACAGATTAGTGAAGAAACATACATTTTTAATTTGATTATTTCAAAGGTCTATATATTGTTCTTCAGAAAAACTTTTGGGAGTTTTACAAAAACAAGATAAAACACACACACACACACACACACACAATATAGCGGGTTAGATCCAGAATCAACCTTCCATGGACAGAAGGGTTTCTGAACCAGCAGAACAATCTTCTAGGTGGGAAGCAATCTTTGGCGATCCTCTTCCCCCTGCATTCTCCTATGCCCTGCCAAAATCCTCCCCAGAGGGTCCAGGGATGCAACAGTGAACCAGATGGTCTGGATGCTGCAGAAGAAAGCAGAATCAGCAAAGACTGTTTCCCCTTCAAGCAGAAAAATGCTGGATCCAGCCAGTATAACAGCACGCTCAACACAAAGCCTAGGAGAATAAAAGCATCACTGCCTGGTGCCCAAATAATAACAGTGCTGTTGGCCTACCTGGGAGGGGAATTCCAAAATGGGGTCCCACTACTAAGAAGGTGCATCTTTGCTTCCTCACTGGTCACCACCCATCTTACTTCAGACAAGCAGGGAAGCTTCTGAAGACACATTTAAACACACTGGAGCAGACATTCTCCATTCCCTTCTCTCCAGTGAAGAATATGATGAAAAAACCTACAGCAGTTATCATATAGTTGCTACAAATGATTCCCAAATCATTTTGGGAATCTAGTTATTTACAGCAAGAGGTGTGTCTCCGCACTGGGTATGTACATGGAATGGTGACCCAAGCCATGGTGCTGTTCTGACTTGGATAGCCCTCACCCTCATTCTGGCATCAGGGTAAGACTGTCTTTCCATCTGGGTATTTACGGCTAATAGCTCTGATGTGGTTTGATGTACTGATCGATTTGAGACCGATATAGAGTGAGAGAATGAGAAGAGAGCAAAAGAGATGGGGGGAGGCGGTGGTGGGAGAGGGATGCTTTGATGATGTTATTAACTGCCTGTGATGTGTTCTCAATGCTTACCCGTGTTAAAGCAACACAAGCATGTAAAAAAGAAGCACCCAAGGAAAAGGCTAGGCCAGAGTGGTTCTCCCCGAGGTACTGAGTCTTTACATGTGGCTGCCTCTTGATGCTGCTGCTGGGGTTCAATCTGAGCAGAACACTAAAACATTTACTTTCAGGCTAAACAAGTGCAGTTGAAAACTCTGGCACAATTATTCTACCGCTACAGGTTCCGTGCAGGGGTTGCCATTTCCAAATACTTTTCCTGAGTTTAAAAAAAGTCAGAGCAAGAAAAAGACTAGCACATCATGGATAACATTTTAGCTTCTCTTTGCTGCGCTAGTTTCCTTGTTGCACAAAAAGAGGATTTCTCAGGGGCAGGTTGTTGTGTTGTTGATGATGTGGAAGAAAATATTTAAAATGCTATTTGCTTAGCTGCAGTCTAAGCTGGGACAGTTTGTTCTGTCACATTGGAACTCTTACCGCCCACTTCTGCTTCAATGCATATGTACATCAGGTTGGTTTAAACATATATTTTATTTTAAAAAAAGTGTGCAAGACTGGGGCAAATGCTGTATCTTTAGGGTGGGATGAATTGGTCACGAAGGCCTCAACCCTGTTTGTTTGTAAGGGAAGGATCACAGAATGAGGTGAGTGGGTGGAATGATGAAAGTCTGAGCAGATAACACTGAGCATGCCTTACACTGCGGACACTAATATTTATGTCAAATGACTCCAACTCACAGGGAAATGTCACATCGCATGGGACATGTGCCAATTAGTTTCAGTTGCGGTGTGGGTGAAACAAATGGTGTTAAGGAAAACAACTTAAATTAAATGCAGGCCATGTAAGTCCTGACTTAATAGCCATGTAATAGTAATAGGTGTTTTAATTAAACCAGAATGAGTCTTAGCTGAAAATAAAAACTCAAAGGGTGCGATGAGGACAGCTACTCCTGCTGAATAGGCATCTATCCAAGGAAGTCTGCTTGTTTAGCAGATACTTTGCAGCTTGGAAGAAAATGAGGCTATGAACTGAAGGCCATAGAACAAGACTAATACTAATACTAATGGACTGATCCCAATGCATCATTTTCTTCCACTGGACAACTTGTGAAACTGTGCCCTTGGAGGCATATATCTAGGAAAAAAAATGCATAAGAATAAAAAAAATACTGGAAAGATACTGCTATTACTGTGGTACAATCCAAAATTCAGAAGAAGTACACCACACATTCATTAAAAGATAGTAGCTACTGCCCATTCATGTAGGAAGGCCTCTAATGTCTGAAGTGTAGATGTATCCATAAATGCTTTGGACAGAGAACTTGGGAGCGTATCTACTCACAGCAATCTCTTTCTAACATGGAAGGCATTCACCATGATGGACGCTTCTTTGGGCCCCCAGTAGGTGCAATATTAAGGAATTCCATTACGACAAACTCTAAGCTGATAAATAGCCAAATAAGTCTTTCCAGAACCATACAGCTGGAAGGGAGCTCAGAAATCACCTTCTCCACATACGTCCTTGCTCAGTGGAAGCTGCGCACCGCAGAGTTGGGCTGGATGTCATTAATTTGAGAAACAGTTCGCGTAGCCTGGTAGTGTGAGTAAAAACAACTGGAGCTGTTGCAACAACAACTGAGGTGTCAAGTTGCATGAGGTGACAAGCAAATGATATTCCTCTGGCCTCAGGAATATGAATGATGGACCATAGTCCAAAGCGTCTCTTCCCAATATGAGTCTTTTCATGGCCAGCCCAGACCTGACATGTCCTGCTCATTCTAGACTGGGTTTCGCTTGTTTTTCCCAGGAACGCCACTGCCCTAAAAGCTTTGGTATTCATGAAATGTTAAAATGATGGACCATGGAGTTCTTCCTCCTTCATACAGGCTGCTAGCATATTTTCAAAGTGCCACAATGGAGAAGGTTAGAGGCTTTCTTTTCTTTGTATTGAGAACCTAACCCCCTGAAAGCAGAGATTTTCAGCCTTTTTAATAAATTAATATCAGCTTCATGTTGAACAGGGCATAAATATATTTCCTTGGGAACAGAACTCACTCCTGCTTTGTTACCCTCAAAAGTTGGCTGCATGTAGATTGCGCAGTAAATACACCCACTTACGTACTTCACAGTTTACAGCTGATGCACTTCTGGAATGATGCGGAGGTGCAGAATGGATCCCTGCCACCTCTTTCTTAAATTTCTCAACTGCCTTGATAAGCTTCTCTCTTTTCTGTTGATCCTTGTCTATATATAAGAAATATCAAGGCTTTATCAGGAAGAGCAATTGACAGTCAAGCAGTTCTTCAGCATTCTTGATGTTGCATTAAAAACATTTAAATGGTTTGGAAAGAGAAACTGACTGAAGGAGTCTAGAATATAGTTATCTAAATCCTTTCCTACAAATATGCTTTCCTTTATATACTTGCCAAGTTTCAATAAGATATTGTGAATGAGTTATATTATTATGGCAAACAGTGGAAGGAAACATTTTCTATAATCTTTTATTTAACTAATAGTTATAGATCTTTCCTCAATGCATTTGATGGATACAAGATTTGGCTTAAATGACTATTGCTAGATTTTGATCATGGACTACTAGTCAGCCCTGACTGCTTGGCTAGGAACTATCAAATAACCATTTGGACTTGGAAAGCAGAAAGCAGTGATGAAAGAAAGTGAAATTGGATCCTGTGGTAGGCAGCCAAGGAGCCTTCCAAGAAATTTTGGATCTGCTTACGTGGGAGATGATGCTCTTCTATAATTTTGCAGTATCTCTCAAGGTGCTTGCCTGTTCCCTCACTCTCAACTCATTTATTAGTCAGCAAATGTTACAAAAATATCCAAACTCTCCAGCATAGTTTAGTGATGCAGGAACTGCTCCTAGAGCTTCTGACCATTTGTGGTTATGGAGCTTTTCTAGACAAAGCTTTTTGTGCACTTGCCATTCCTCACTCACAATTGTTTAGAGATGCCATCCTGTGTTTTCTACCCACTTTTCTGGAGTGGGGAAAGTGAGGCAAATGGGGGAATCATGAGGCAAAGCTTAACTTCTGACCAATGCTTTATTCTGCTTTGTTCCACTAGAGCAGCTTTGCACCAACAGGTCCGGTTATAGAAAGTAAGAATGGAGAAAAACAGATTTTGTGTGGCGGTCTAATCTTGAGTCTACGAGATGCAACAGCTTTCTCAAAAGGTAAGAGGCCAATAGGGTGGCTTCAGTGGATTCAAAGAATATCCTGCTCGTTTCAGTCTCTGCTTTCCCACTGCCTCAGTTCTCCATCAGTAAAAAGGAGTTAAAGTAGTCAGTCTAACAGGTTGCTTTAGAAGTCAAATAGGAACAAAATAGATTAAAAGCCATGTACATATAATAAAATGATATCTGAAACAAATACCGCAGATGTAAATTCCTGAAAAAAGCCTTATTTAAGAACTGTAGTACCTTCTTAGGTTCATGCATACTCATTTTCTATTGCATTGGTACAACTTCCCAAGGCACAACTACGTGCATGAAAGCTTATGCAATGCATAAATCTTTAAGGTATGTGTCATACTGAAGTGCACGAAGTACCCTTGGAGCACTTTTCCTGGTACCACCCTGGCTATATGGGCACACCATCAGGCTGACATTGAACTTAGACTTGCAGTGGACTGAAGCAGCACGTGTGGTCCAAACTGGTATAGCATAGGTTGAATGTGGACTGTGATAACTGGAACAGCAGTTCTGGTTCCCATGCTTACTAGCCTTTCGTTTGTGATTTGTGAATGAGTGGGTATGGTGTAAGAAGGGTTGCGACAGTGGTACTACCACTACTTTTTCCCAGAAAAAGGGGGAAAGGGGAAAAGATGGCAGAAGGCAGGGAAGAAAACTATGAGAGGAGAATAAATATATGTGGATCCTATAATACAGGTTAAATGAAAGATGAATCAACAAAGTCTGATGATCATTGGTCTCTGTGTGGCTTCTAACCATATTTCCCCAGATGCCTTCACTTTGAGATGCATAGGTAAAAATTAAACCCAAGTACTATTCCAAAACTGCAGCATCCAGTATCTGCCCACCTCAAATCTAAGTAAGGAAACTTGGAAAGAGGTTCATCCTCTAATATTTGCACTATACCTTGAAGTGTTCTGTGTATGAAATTTTCCAAGGGGAAATGGGAAGCAGCCAGAAAAAAGCAATTGTTTGCAGAAAGCATCCACTCCCCACTGCACCATCACAAAAGTCTTGCTTTTCCTATTATTTTCACTCACATGTTGTTCTGATCATCATCAGTGTATGTTAAGATTTGGCATCCACACACATCACAAGAAGTCATGTCAGGCAACACTAACTTAATACATTGGATCGCCCATCATCCCCCTCCCCCACACACACACTTTTCCTTATTCTTGTTGGCATGGAAATGAGTGACAGCTGTCCCCCCTGTTACTATTACTCCTTTGGGAAAGTATCTGGAGCAGTCTGTATCCAAGTTGCCAAATTCAGAACAAACAATGCAATAATCTAATTTGGCCTGTGCAATAAAACTACAGAAACAAAATCTGACGTTTTGGCTACTGAGAGGAACCAGCCCATTCTTGTGGTCAGCATGACTACTGCATTTTGTTGTGGCAGCCAAGATGGCGACATATATTTTTCAAGCATACCTTTTGCTGCCCAGTTTTCTTTCACTACTTGTGAGCAATGCCATAAGAATGCAACAGGGTCTTGAGGGTAGGAATGCCCGTAGGGTCTTTATAAGCTAGTTCTTCACATTTTATCACCGTCTAGTGTGACCAAGAGAACGTTATACCATTGCCAAGTTATGGAAAGATGCTCCAAGTTGTTTCTGAATGCCTGAAATCAATGCAGATCACCAGGTTTAGCCCTTGGCCCCAATTCTGTTACAGCCAGTCTTTTATTCCACAGACATGAATAGTTGCTATTGCTTCCTGCACAAAGATGCTGGTGACACCTAAGTCAGTAGATGCCTCATCGGTTGCAGCATTCGTTTTGAGCTTTATGGGAGCTATCCATGGTTCTTCATTGGTGATGATGGAGCTGGGGCTGTGAGCCCCACTGATATAGGTGTTCCCAGCCTTTCCTGCTGCTATGAGTAAATGTAAACAGCTGCTCCCACGTCACAACTGTGATGGGAGCAAGATCTGTTGTGAGTATTAGGATGGTTGCATTCAGCACAGAGCACTGCAATGTGAAATACTGCACTCCATTCACACAACCAGTCACAGTGACCTGAATTTTGCTAGGAGGCTGTAAAGGGCCTTTATCATCTGTTCTTTCCCTGTCACCTTTGTTTGAATTATGAAAGCTTCAGGATTTTTCCTGCAGTTTGGTGGGGAGTAACATTAGTGCTTCCCACTTCTTGGACAAATACTGAGGATTAATACTGGTCTTTCATGGCCTAAAAACTCACTCATGTTTCTGCATATGACTCCTGGATCATAGCATAAAGAAATTTCAGACCATGAGATCTGTGTGAATTATCCATTATTGCTATATCTTCACCTGAAAATATACCTATTACTTATATTTTGCATTTTTATTCACCAACCTAAATTGTTTGTTAGCTTGATTGTTTAAAGTAACAGGTATCACTCCAAATAGTATTGCCCAGCAGGGATGGTTAGCTTGTCCAAATGGAATGTTCTATTTTAATTCTGCATTTAGAGTGGGACCAAGTGTTTCTGCCATGATGGAACTGAAATTCTATCCACGTGGTCTATAATTATGCCCCAAGACTGCTAGGGATGACAGCCTCACCAGCCAACAGGCAACAGCCTCCAGTAACTCTATAAGTTCACAGAAAACTCTATGAAAGAGAGAGGCAGGGCCAGCCCTACCATTAGGCAGAGCGAGATGACCACCTCAGGTACCAGATGCTGGGGGATGGGAAGTGAACGCCAAGCAATGGACAACAGCACTGTCTGGACCACATGGTTTGCCCTGAACCCTTAGGTTAGCCAGTTGCCCCAGCCACACTAGAGGGTGTTTTCCCATTACAAGTGTTGGAGTCAGGTTCAATTGTCCATGCAGCCAGCTTTTGCGTGTGAAGTGGGAACCACTGTGTGCTTCTTTCCAGTCAACAACATATCTTGAGCCAACTGGACCTTGGGAAAAGTGAAGTAACTTGCGAAATATCACTCAACGTTCTAGTGGCAGGGCTGAAAAAGAAGCCAGGCCTACTAGCTTATCTGGTTTATCTTAGGAATGCTGTGAAGTGCTTTGGCACATGCATGTCAAATTATAAATTGGTCAGTGCTCAGAAGCGCTATTTGCTTACAATAAGGAATGCTTGCGAAGATTAAAATGCAGCACAATTTTCAGTATCATTGCAACTCTTTAAGAAGGAAGGTTCCAGACAATTAGGTGTTCTTGCAATACAAGAAAACCAGCCACGTTATTAAATTGTGAAAAATGGCAGTGGAACAAAAGTTTGCCATGGAGTGATTGATTTTCTCAATTGGTTGGGTAATCCTTTTGCTTTCAGTAGCATTTAGTACCTTGTCAACACCAGGCCGCTTCCACAACAGGTGCCTCTTATAAGCACTCAGCTGTACATGCTTGTAATTTTGATCACTTAACCTTGGGGACAAATTTATTTCACCTGGTCTGCTTCCCCCGCCTTAATCCAGTGAAAGTTTTGACACTAGATTTAAAGCAAGAACAAAAACAAAAATAAAAACCTCTGCCATGCAGCCCATGTCAAAGAACAAAATACTAACAAGTTAGAATGTGAACGTTATGAACAAAGACTCTAACCATGGGAGGTGGGTGCAAATCACCCACAGAGTAGATCATGCACCGAGAGAGGTAGCAAAGATGCAACAAAGAACAGATGAATTGTTGACTACAGTGGTGAGGAGACAAGGAAGGGTTGGAAATGGAATGTGGATGTGAATGGGATATGATTATACGTCTGTGTGTGTGACCAACAAATCACATAAGTGGCTGTATGTCAGCAACTGAGGTGTCCTTGCCCATTTTGGGCGATGACTCCATCTATTTTGGTCTATGGCCCTGTCACTGCTGACATATGGCGTCCACATGCTAGCCCAGAGCCAATGAGACCCTTGAGTCAAAGTCCTCTTCTCCATCTCTGTTCTAATTGATGGATTCACAATACACTTTGGAGAAACACTACAACACAGTCTGAAAACTATTGCTTGAGCATGAAGCCTCACCACAAACACAGGAACAGAAGAAGAACAGAAGAAGCACCCTTTAGATCAGGCCAGATGCCTGT